CTCCCCTCTACCCCACCCTACAGTCGCTCCCCGACCTGGCACTTGGCCTGTCCTTTAAAGATTCCGGGAAGGTCCCCGAGTGTACCTGCCCTTCCCGTGCCCTCCCATCAGGCTCCTACCCTCTCAGGGCCCCTCTCACCTGGATGAGGATCTTGCCAAGGCAGACGAAGGGCGTGCTGACCTCTGCCATGAGCAAGCAGCCGAGAAAGAAGTCTCCCTTGCCCTGACGCCACACCTGAGAGGACAGGAAGGAAACACCCGGCCTCGCTGGGTCCCTGGGCAGCACCTGCTCTGCTCTCTCCATCACTTTTGGAGATGCTTAATTTTGAAAGTTTGAACATGACCTTACTGTATCCCACAATCTTGTAGGTAGGACTGTATACAGTATGTTCCATATGAGGACACTGAGGCTCAGAAACATGCAACAGCAGCTCTGAAGCACCACGGCTCGGTATGGCCCCGCCAGGCCAGGCTGACCCCAGGCCCTTTTGCTGTCTGGGGCTGGTCTGGCACTCAGTAAACCCTCTGTGGGGACCCTCCACCCTGGGCCTGCCCTGCTGCTGGAACCTGGACCCATGGCCCCCCAGGTTCCTCACAGTGCTGGCGTGAGCAGGACATGGGGGCCCTGGCTCAGTGCCCTGACTCACCACCGACAGCGGGAAGCACACGAGCACCATGACGGCGTGGTGGAGCACCATGAGGAACTCCTTGTGCAGGTAGCCGCGCGCCACAGCCCACATGCTGCCTGGGGCCCGGGCCCCTCCTTCGTCCCCTCCATGCCCCTTGACCTGGTGCTTGTGCCAGTGACAGAGAAACATGGCATAGATGTCGTAGATGAAGTAGGGCACTGCAAACTGTGTGTAGGCAGAGGAAAGCCAGTGTCTGTGGGCAGAGGGAGTGGGTGGGCAGAGAGAGAGAGAGGTGGTCAGGAGGAAAGGCCATGGCAGAGCCGCAGCGGTGCCAGGGTTGATGCTGGAGGCATCGTGTGAGCCAGAGCTCAGTGCTCTTCAGGGCCCTGAGGCGGATGTGGACTCAGATTACATGATGAAACCCCAGGTGAGAGGGCAAGAAACTTGCTCGAAGTCATGCAGTCCCATGGCTGGTAGGCAGCAGTCATGAGATTCAAACCCAGACTCTCTCAAAACCCACCCATTTTTCATATTCATTTATTCATTCCCCCCCCCCCAATATGGTGGGAGAAAAAGATAAAAAGACAGCACACACCAAAGGGCAGCAGTAGAGTGAGAAAACAAGCTCAGGCAAGATGTGAAAGACAGTGAGGTTGGGACAAACAGAAGGGTGCGCATGCCGGGGGAGAGCATATTGGCCAACAGTGACTAGTCATTATTACACGCAGGAACTATTCTAATATTCTAAATCTTTTACATGCACAAACTTATTTACTCCCCTACAAAAATCCTTTAAAAAGTAGGTATGGTTATCCCCTCCATTTTACAGATGAGGAAACTGAGAGGCTAGGTAACCTGGCCAAGAAATAAACACGAGAAGCCTGGCTCCGCAGGCCTCACTCTCAGCCCGCTGTCCCCTGGAAGACTCGAGACACGCATGGGAGACAGGCCCCGCTGGGGAGCTGGTGCTGCCTGTGCCACTTGTTCTTCCTGGATGTGGCCCAATCTCTTGTTTTTTCAGGTACAGCCAAGCATTATGGAAAAAACGCTGAGCAAAGGGAGCCAAGAGCAGAGAAAGTTCTCTGTACTTTGAGAGTAAACAAAAACGAAAAGTGCATAATATGCAATGTTGCATTTTCCTGCTTGAGTCAGTACATCGAGCCCTTTCTCTTAAATCCTACAGTGCTGTGACAGGTCCGAGGTGGGGGTGGGAGGTCAAAGCTAGGTGGAGGGGCAAAAGTAAAGTCAGCCAAGAAACGACGCAGAAAAAGAGCTGAGACCAAATGTGAGGAGCTGCTGGAGAAGTGATGAGACCT